CGACCGGGGATCCGACCCGACTAGTGAGACCGAGATCTCCGACTTACTTAACCCAAACTCGGGATGAATTTTACAAACTAATGGGAATGGTATCGATGCTCATTGACAAATCTCGCGACCAAGAGATTGCTTACCAAACCATCGCTAACCGTTTGGAGCAAACCGAGAGGGAACTCGCTGAGTACCGAAAAAACCCCAGAGAAACAATTCGACAACACTCGGATCCATCCCTGCGAACACCAATCCCTCAGAACCGTGGAGCCTTCACCTCCCCCGAGCTTACTAGCGCCTGATCAGGACGCTGCACAAGAGAAAATTCACGACAGACTCCGAGACTCCCCTGGAAGGGGCAATCTATCGGAGTATGAATTACATCGGTCAAAATAAGGTCGAAAATGAGATGCAAGGCCTAAGAACAACACCGATTCAAACTCAAAGTAGGCCCACCGATGGGCGCGAAGAACCCAGAGTCCAAATATCTCCACTGCAATATCGAGCCCTGGAATATCAATTCTCTTTTGGAGTAGTCGCACCTCAGCAAACCAGATTCACAGCGCAGCTGGATCCCATCCGAGGGTACGACCCTTTTAGGTCGTTGCACAAAAATCCACATGGAGAAGATCAAAGATCTCCGAGTCAAGCAGGAGCCTTCAGAAGCTACGTCAAAAGGAACGTCGCCGAACTCAAATGGATACACGCCATCGTTCATATGGCAACGATTCCGGCCCTTGATATCGATCAAGTTATCAAAGAAACTCGCAGGATCCCATTCACAAACCGAATAACCAGTGTAAAGCTGCACGATGTCGGTAAGATTAAATTCCATGAATAGTCGAGTAACTCCAACCCGAAAGCTTACGTGTGAGCCTTCCAATTAGCTGTGTCAAGGGCGCATCTCAATGATTAAGAAAAGGAGGTGGGCTACTGCCGCTTCTTTTCCGAAAACCTCACAATTCCCACCCTAGAATGGTTTGCCGGACTCGAAGGATTTTCGATCGACGACTTCACCCAACCAATATCGGCGTTCTTAAAGCAATATTTAGTATTTATAGAAATACGAGCCACTGAAGCCGACCTTTGGAACCTCAAGCAATCACCTTTCGAACCATTGAGAGCCTACATAAACAAGTTCAAGGAACTCAAACCAAAATATCAAGCCTAAACGAAGTAGTCGTATTAGCAGCTTTGAAAAACGGTGTCTGGTTCTCTTCCAAATTCAGAGAAGAAATGACGGTCCGAGCTCCCACCTCACTAGATGACGCGTTGTGTCGCACATCCTACTTCGCAACCCTTGAAGAACAAATCGCCATTCTACAAGAACAATACAACGCAAGCAAAAACAGAACGACCAAAAAGCCAAGCACCCCAAAGAAACAGACTACCAAAGGACAGCACTCCTACGCAATAGACTCGTCGTCACAAATAAACAATCGACATACGACCCGAACAAGTATTGCTGCTTTCACAAAAGAAAATGACACTCGTCCAAAGAATGTCGCGCAGTACTCCCCAACAAGGAGGAAAACAAAGAGAACGGCGAGAACACAGAAGAGGAAAAGGTTCCAACGACCCCGAAAACCAAAGGAAAGGCCAAACGAAGTAGGGAAGTCGAGCCTGAGTCACCAGAATCTCCGCCTCCAGCCCCAAAGAAAAGAATTGACATGATCCTATGGGGATCCGAACGCAAACATACACTGAGTCAAGCAGTGGAATGAATAAACATCTATGTCACGGTGACAATACAAGGATCGGAAGAACTCGTTCTCCTCCTTTAGCCGAACAACCAGATACCACTACGTGCCGGAGAAGAAAAACAACTTCAACATGATTCGACGGCTGCTGGAGAAACCGATACATAAGAAAAAGCACAGCCCGCGTCTGCTCAAACCCAACATGTCCGGGGGGGGCAAGGACACCACCAGCCGACTCTAACCAAAAAATGGTACTCCCCCGCACGTCACCAGAAAAAGGTAAAAGGAATTGAATTCATTTACAGAGGATCAAAATTCTGCAACTCAGTCAACTCTATCAAAGCGCACCAACGAAGAGCAGAAAATAGCATCGGCATACGAGAGCCTCTATCGGGCCCTGATCACGAAAACGAAACCGCCGACCTTGACAAACCACACGATGACACACTCGTTATAGGACTTGACGTTGGAGGATGTGAACTATCCAGGATCATAATCGATACCAGAAGTTATGCAGATGTACTCTATTATGACGCATTCAAAAGGATGAGATTCACCAAAACACTCCTCAAACAAAAAAGAACCTCACTAATCGGATTTGCAGGAGAGACTACCTACTCTCTCGGATCCATCGAACTCGCCGTAAACGCTGGAGACGTAAGAAAGATCGTCGAATTTATCGTCATAGATCGACCTGCTCCGTTTAACGCTATCCTCAGGAGACCATTACTATACAACATGAAAGCAGTACCGTCAACCTACCTTATTTCAGCACTTAGTTAAGCAGGCCCAAGCCCATACACAATCACCATCAATTTAACTCTTATCGAGCACGACGAGATCGAAATGATATCTCGAAGATCGCGGAAGTAGTTAGAAGAGAACAAGACTATAAAAAAGAGCTAGAGCTGAACATTAAAAAAACACGGGAAAACAACAAATCACTATTCTCATCGACCTCATTCTTTAACATTTAATTTGCATATAATTTCGATCTTTCTTTGTTGTTCTCGATCTCGATTATTACTTTGTACTAAATCTCATATTCAATAAAGTTCATTTTTGTCAACCGAATTCCAATTGTATCGTTGTGTTTTAAAAGCATCGTTGTTCACATCAGTTGTCTTCCTTAGATTAAATTCTTGATCACTACAAAATATGTAGTGTGGATTTTAGAATTTACAACTACACATTCATACATTTTAGGTTATTACATGTTCGTACCTCTTGTATCAGACACGTTGTAACTCTTCGTTGACAACATGTTCACCTAATAAACGATATATTTTTGATTAAAAGAGATATTTATGTCAACCAATAAAGGACCTTTAACATATTTTTTCAAAAATGAAATGGTTCAATAAAAGGGTGGATACGATGGTTCATTTTTTAAAAGATACAACACTTTAATGAATGAACATGTCTTCTGTTTAGTTGATCGAATATTTAAAAAGTTTTTATTATGAAAGGGTTCAATCGTTAAGCTTCTTAAAATATAAGACTTTCAGTTGTGAAAAATATTCAAAGAAAAAGTTCAATGGTTAGAATTCAGAAAATATGCAATTACTTAAGGAAGGAACACGTCTCTTGTTTATGGAAAACTATAATGTCATATTCGAATTCTTGAATTAAAATGTAACGGTTAGAAATAGAAATAAACTCAACCTTTTTTCTATAAAAAGTGAAAATGTCAGCAATAAACAAAAATATCGAATTTGTAAACTCATTTGTAATTAGTACATTAGTTCATTTTTTTGTCAAAACTTGAATCTAATTACATAGTTGTTGTTTATGTTCACAAGTTCTTTCTTCTTCAAAATCTACAAATACAAACACTACCAAATTTCTAGCGTGTATTTTAGGATGTATGGATATTAACATTGAAAGAAAACTAAAAAGAGAAAGAAAAAAAAAACATAGAAAAAACTAAGACCTTATACAATATATGTTACTTCTTTATTACTGAGCTACGATGGGCCACGTACTGAGAAATGATCACGGTCTCGGACGGAGTAAGCATGGGCGTGTTAGGATCCAACTTAACTAACTTCCAAAAGCAAAAAGAGATGTGTAATGAATGAAACCTCATGTTACAGAAACGAATTTAATGTTATCAAGCTTTGATGTGAGCCACATGATTTTGGGAGGTGAAGAGAATATTTCTACGTGTTTTACACTTTTACCAAACCCACTTGGCAAACAATGTAGAAGAGGAAGTTGTGACGAAGAAGAATACCACGTCCTTGACTAATTGCTCTTTTTTCATTCAGAAGTTTTCATTTTATGCGTGGGGCAATCTAAGGCAACGTGGTTCTTTAAATATCTCATCTTCATTTTACACTTTTCTAGCCTACGTGTTTCGTTTTGGAGCGGCCAAATACTACGCAGGTTTGTCTTAAGTAAATAACCAAACACTTTTCTAGCCTACGTGTTTCGTTTTGAAGCCGCCAAATACTACGCAGGTTTGTCTCAAGTAAATAACAAATTAACTTTGACGTCCGAAAGTGTGGAATTTAAAATAATAAGCATGGTTCATTTCCCACGATTATTATTTCTCTTTTTTGAAGAAATTCATTTCCCACGGTTATGAAACGATATACAATTAGTTTTCTGTAGAGCATTAATCAGTAGATGATTTCCTAAACGAAGTCTGATTACTAAAAGCATGATGATGTAATACATGTCATATTCGGTCACGGAACAACAATATATTCCAAACTGTTAAGCTAATTGGCAAATATCTAAAGTAACATTTTTAAATTTTTTTTATAAAAATTAAGTATTAAAATTTTCAATATATTTTTATTAAATAACAAAATGTTTAAAATTACTCTAGATTTTAAACGTTATTTTAACCTTAATAGTTAGATACTAAACTTTAAACTTAAATATTATATATATAAAATTCTTTAGTTTTGATAAATGCTAGAATTTGGGGAAAAAATCTTACATTTTCTTGAGACAAATGCTTTAATGCTATTTAAACCATTTCTCTAAGCTATTTATTTGTATACCAATTAAAACTTTATTGTATGTATGCCGACAAGCATCTCCGCTTAAGCTCTCACACTAAACTTGAACTCATGTGTGTCAAAGTTCAATTATTGTAACAAACGAAAGCAACGGATGAGATCAATTTCTCATGTGTTATCTTTTGATGATTTGATATTATAAATTGGAGAAATAACTAATCAAATGCAAGGCTACAAATTAAAGAAGGTTCAGGAAATAACTCGACCTATCGTTTCTCACCATCCCTTCCTATAAGTACATACGTTGATCTTTCATTACATCATATCAAGCTTCTACTGAAGATCCAACTTAAAGTTTATAATCTTTGTTTCATACTTCAGATCCTCCTCTTTCACTCAAACACTAAAATCTGTAGAAATGGCAACGGCGTCGTTTAACATGCAGTCAGTCTTCGCCGGTGGATTGACCACACGTAAGATCAACACAAGCAACCATTTCTTCGCCGGAAACTTCCCTAATCTCAAAAGGAACTTTCCAGTGGGAGTGAGATGCATGGCTGAGGTACATATACTTTCCTCAACTTTGTAAATCCAACGGTCACTTTATTAATATGAAATCCTGACCGATCTGTTGTTTGACTTTTGCAGGGAGAACCCATGAAGAATGAGTCTGCACCGTCGACCTCAGCGGCTCAGCCTTTGCCTAAGTCATCGTCCCCACCACCACCCCCTCCTCCTACTAAGCCTAAGGTATCATTTTCTTGCTTGTATTAAAGAGAAGTATCAGTCTCGTTGTTAGTTGTTTTCTCCCATGTTTTGTTATGTAGAAACAATTGAAAGCTCTTTTTGTTTCATAATAATTAAGCTTCAAATAACCAACACTTAATATAATATAACCTCTTTAAATTAATATTCTATAAATTAATATACATTAAAAATCTTTATAAATAATACAATTTTATAGTTTCAAATTGAGGTTTTGTTCAATTATTATGTCAATAAATTAATTAAAAATATAGTTTTGGTGTAATCTCAACATTATTATTTTATAGATGTTTCATCGTATAAACAAATATGAATAACTGTTTTGTAAATGATTATTGTTAACTGTTTTGTAATGTTGACCAGATTAATACAACGTTAAGAAAGAGAAAGGAAATTAATAAACTATGGATAGAAGCAAATTATAACCAATACTAGAAATTAAGCAAAATTATATTTTAAATACAATCTAAATATTTAAAATACCTAAATATTTTAAATACTTGAGGCATACGTTTTTGATAACTACTTGAGACAAACTTTATTTTGTTCTTAGTTTCAAATTTATAACACACAACATCCCGGGAGGGTTATAAAGTAAAGTACTGTATTGATAATTTTGGGATGGTTATAGGTGAGCACCAAGTTTAGTGACTTGCTAGCGTTTAGCGGTCCAGCACCAGAGAGGATTAACGGGCGTTTAGCTATGGTTGGATTCGTGGCTGCCTTGGCAGTTGAACTTTCCAAGGGAGAAAACGTTTTCGCTCAGATCTCCGACGGTGGAGTCTCATGGTTCCTTGGCACGACGGCGATCTTGACGCTTGCGTCGCTTGTGCCGCTTTTCCAAGGCATCACCGCTGAGTCAAAGTCTAAAGGTTTCATGACATCAAACGCTGAGCTTTGGAACGGGCGTTTCGCGATGCTTGGTTTAGTCGCTTTGGCGTTCACTGAGTTTGTCAAGGGTGGAACCCTTATCTGAAGAATATAACTACGGTTTTGTCCCTGAATTCTGTAAAGTAAAATCTGGCTTTTGCTCATGTCGTGTTATGTAATAGTGAGTTCCAGTGATATATGAAAAACTTTGGGTTATAAAACACTTTTACAAAAGTTCTAATCATCTTAGCAAAAAAAAAAAAAAAAGGAACATTTTATAATAAGTAAAATCGATGTTGCTATCTTTCTATCATCTAAAATTAAGAGCTTATTTGTGTAATAGCTATATTTGAAAGTTAAATTAGGTGAATGTCAATGATTTTGACCCAATTTAATGTCAGGCTTTTATACTATAAATCATCCGGTTCTATCCCTTTAATTATCAGGTTCCGAGTTACAAGTGAAAAAATCAAAAAATGAATGAAGTCGTTCTTTTTGTTGTGTATTTACTATCACATCCACGTCATACATTTTGTAACCACATACATTTACGCCAAATATTCTATTTCATATTGCCGAAATAGTATAAAACTATAAATCAATTTACAACCTTAAATATTAAATATTATCTCAACTATATAGTAAACCCTAAATCTTATTCACTATACAATCTCTAAATATTAAACATTACCCCAAATCCTAACAGCTAAATACTAAACTCAACCCAAATATAAATTATATTTACATTCACAATTCTTAAATACTAAAATATTACCCCAACCCTAAAATATTAAATCTTAAACTCTAATCAGTAAACCTCAATATCAAATATAAACCATAAACCTAAATATAAACCCAAAACAAGATAGAATGAAACAAAATAGAATGGTCCAACCATACCCTCACCGACCAGAGTTTTCTATTTCATATAATCAAAATAGTATAGCACACAAATCATATCCAACTCTAAAATAATAAATCATGTCCCTACCCCACCCTCAATCCACCCAAACCACTAAATACTAAACCCTAAACTATAATCACTAAATCCTAAATCCAAATATAAACCCTTAACCCAAATATAAATCCTAAACGTACATAAACTAAAATCTTATCAACTAATCACTAAACTCTACACAGAAATATAAACCCTAATCTAATGTCAATCTCACTCTTCCGTAAATTAAACTCTAGCCATTGATCACTAAACCTGACATGAAAAATATAAAATCTAAGTCAGTATCAACCCTAGTGCAAATAGGAAAACACGGAAATAGTACATATTATGTTTCATTCTACATGGTTCACATTGAATAGATAAACTGTTAAAGTTGGTGAAGGTATGTGAGGGGGACGACGTCACCAAGTGTGAAAGAGTATGACTTAATCGATGGAATGAATGACAAAGACTTGATAACAAATTTGACATATGAAAAAATCCCAAAAAACCATTTAATAACGTATAATTAGTAAGATAATTTTTATTCTATTAAGGAAAACAGGTGGTGTCAAAATAACTATTGTAGCAGTTCATGTTTCATGCTACTTGAGGCACGTAGAATAGAAATTTGGAAAAGTAATTTACCAATGTGCACGGATTAATTAGATGGATGTCATCTGATGGAAAAATAGATGACATAGACGATGGAATAAATGGTCATTCATGCGTAATTTGACAGTAAATAGTTAATAATTTTTATTGTTTTCTTCAGCAGGTTGCACCGGTTAGTTTAAGGGATATATATGCATTATTACATAAATTCAAGTATGTATATAGAAAAGTTAGGGCATTTAGTTATGAACTTAATTATTATTTTTTTCTTGGTCATACAGACCAATATCCCTAAAATTAACGGGTTCAAGAACTCAAGAACTAGAAAAGGAATTCGATATATTATAAGCAAAAAGAGTGATTATGATAGGGACACATGTCACATGTTAAAAGTATTCATGTTGAAAAACGATTATGATAGGGACACGTGTCACATGTTAAATTTTTATTTGTTGTCGAGTATTTTGTATATATTTTTCATCTTTGTTATTTATGACCATTTATTTGTTTTTTATTTTTAAATAAATTTTTTTATTCGAGAATATATGTTTTATTTACTCAATATTTATAAACATGTTTCATTTAATTTAGAAATTGAAAAATAATTATTTTAATGAATATTTTATTGAATTATTAGATGGAAAAGGAAAAAAGTTATGTAAAGTATTAAATAGTAAAAATAGGGTATTAAACACACAAAATCCTTGTTTATAGTCCGGTGAATAACACAATACACCATTTCACCAATTATTTACTCTTGCATTGGTCCATCAATTTTATATTTGTTGTTTCCAACTGCTTAGAGCAATTCCGTTAGTAATTTTCTACCATGGAGTTCTCAAATTAGTATATGTATATATAATAAATATTATTTAGTTAATAGTATACTAAAATTCTTGAAAATTTAATCAATAATATATCAAATAAGAAATTTATTGTTAGGTTCCTAATTATTTAAATATACTCTTAATTAAATAATTATTATTATATATGGATACACTAATATGTAACTTAAAATTTTCATGGTAAAAAATTACTATTATGGTTATTCTTAGCTAGTTTACAAAAAGACCAAGAGACCAGTAATTTAGTAGAGATTTAAGAGATTATATAGATTACATATTCAAATCTTCTTAGGAAGGATTTGTTTTCTAAATAAGAGTTTAACTATGGTTTAAATCTCTTTCTAGCAAAAGTATAAATTTAGGAACCTTCGATCTTCAAATCATTCAAATAAAAAAACTGTAATTCGTAAAAAGAAATCAACTGTTATTTTTTCTTGGAACACTACTTGATTTCATTAGAACTTCAACTTGTTTAATTACAATAGTTAGAGATCTCTAATTACAATAGTTAGAGATAACTATATATCCTCTTCAGTAGAAAGCATAAACTACAATAATATAAGATAAAATAGATTCTTCAAAGGAAGATGACAATGAAAACAAGACGAAACTTGAATGCATCGATGTAACCTTCACAGAAAAGACAAGACAGACATCAGAGAAATAATCACAATATGTGACGCTGAAGGAAAGCTCCCACTTACGAGATGAACCGAGGTAAGGCCGATTACCTTTTTTTAGCCTCGTAAAGACCGTTACATAAAAAGTCAAAATGGTGAAGAAACTGAAACCCGAGCTTGGCAACAAGTCTGAGCAAACATCTCATTTCATAGAAAGAATGCAAGATGACAAAGCCCAATCCTAGGAAGAGAGTGACGATGGACATAGAGATAGAGACCAACCCGTGAATCAAAGACCCTTATGCATCCACCAGAATCTCTTACAATCTAATCAAAAGTTCCAAATCACACTATCTATTAAAATAGGTACAGATCTTGGTGGGCTAGACTGATGGCTAACCAAAGCAGCAATCAAATTGGGCCTGGCCTGTCTAAAACACACGCTTAGTTTTGACCCAAACAATCACTTGATCAAAGGTCATGACTGTTTGAAACAGATGCCGGATGTAAAGAGGTGAACTGGGGTTGAGAACCATGGAGCGTCGAGGAGTACACCGGAGCAGTCGACACTTCCAAAGATCCCAATCAAATTTTTCTCAGTTGCATCGCCATGACGTTGGGGTTCATCAGAGGTAGATATCGTTATAAGATCGGCGGAAGAGAGAAACTGGGGTAGGATTTCGATGGGTAGTGAATTGATTTCCAATATGGACCTTCAAACATAGAGGTCTAACTCTCATATCTGGAGCATGAATATATATAGCTGTACCAGTGAGTGAGGCGGTGGGTGGAGACGAGTTTTCGAGATCCACCCGAGAAGCTAGGGATAGAGCAGCAGGTGAGCATTGGAACGACGTTTGAAGCCAAACAGCTCAAACCCAAGCGAGTCGTCACTGTTGAAAGCAAAATTAGGTCTGAAGCAAAGACAAAGAGAACCGGACTCGATGAAACAACATACATGAAGTAGACAATGAAGAAAGCGTGGAGCAGGGATGAACAACAGCGATGCCGGTGATCTAAATCGCCACATGGATTGGGAAGAGTAAGAAAACAAGAAGCCTCATACTCTGTATCAGAGAGGATATCAAACTCAACAATTGTTATTATTGTATTTACCAACATAAAAGAAATGGATGGATGACGTTGGAAGACTCCGAAACAATGGACCTTATGATCCAATTACTTGCTTATCTAAGGAGGACCTCTTGATATTTGGCCAGCCTTCTGAATTAGGTAAGTTGAGATGAATTCAGATAAGAAATGCAACAGATTAGTGAGTAAAACTACTTGCTAATGTAATAAAGTAAGGTACACTTTACTTTGAGCAGAAAAATGGATAAATAAGTTAGATGGCTGAAGCTCTGTCACATCTAATGAATAGAGCTATGGAAGATATGAGTTTAATGGGAATCAAGATTGCAGTACATGCACCAGCAGTTAACCATCTACTTTTCGCAGATGACTCGCTCTTTTCACTCTAGAAAACAAGAAAGCAGCAGATAAACTAAAGCAAATATTCAGGCTCTATGAGAAGGCATCAGGTCAAGCTATCAGTTTCAACAAGTCATCAATCACATTTGGCATGAGTGTATCGCAAGAAACGCAAACTAGGATGAGGAATATTTTGCAAATACACAATGTGGGAGGCATTGGTAAATACTTGGGACTACCTGAAGAAATTAGAAACAGAAAAGTCGATATGTTTACTTACATCACATATAAGGTACAATCTATTACACATGGGTTGGAAACAGAAATTTCTGTCTCATGGTGGAAAGGAGGTTCTACTTAAGTCTATTTCTCTTGCCATGCCAATATTCTCTATGAATATTTTACGATTGCCATAAGAAATTTGTGAAAATATTAATGGAATTTTGGCAAATTTCTGGTGGGGAGATGGAGACAAGGAATACATTGGCTTGCTTAGAAGCGTATTTGTAAACCAAAAAAGGAGGGAGGTTTGAGATTTAAGGATTTGGAATGTTTTAATCAAGCACTTTTAGCTAAGCAAGCATGGCAAATATTACAGAATCCCCAATGTTTGATGGCTAGGATTTTGAAAGCAATTTATTTTCCTGATGGTTGTATGCTCACAGAAAAACAGAGAACAAATTCATCTTATGGATGGAAGTCTATTCTGTTTGGAAAATAATTACTCAGCAAGGGGAAGAGGATAATTATTGGGAAAGGTAATAACACTCGGAT